ATGGGCAGGGACACCTCCCACTAGAACAGGCTGCTCAGAGCCCCATCCAACCAGCCCTTGAACACTTCCAGGGATGGAGCCCCCACAACATCTCTTGGGCAGCCTGTTCCAGTGTCTTACCACCCTTACACCGAAGAATTTATGCCTGATCTCCAATCTAAATCTCTCTTCTTTCAGAGTAAAACCATTACCCCTTGTCTTCTCACTGCAGGCCCCAGTAAAAAGACCCTCCCAGCTTTCCTGTAAGCCCCCTTCAGGTATTGGAAGGCCATTTTGAGGTCCCCCTGGAGCCTTCTCTTTTTCAGACTGAACAACCCCAGCTCCCTCAGCCTGTACTCATAAGAGAGGTGCTCCAGCCCTCAGATCATTTTTGTGACCCTTCTCTGGACACGTTCCAACAGGTCCACATCTTTCTTGTGCTGGAAGCACCAGAGCTGGACACAATATTCTAGGTGAGGTCTCACCAGGGCAGAACAGAGGGGCAGAATCATCTCTCTCCATCTGCTGGCCACACTTCTTTTGATACAGCCCAGGATGGAGTTGGTCTTCTGGGCTGCAACTGCACATTGGTGGCTCCTGTCCAGTTTTTGATCCACTAGTACCTTCAGGTCCTTTTCCACAGAAAATTCCCAGATCCTTTTCTCAAGCATGACCTCCCCCAGCCTGCACTCATATCTTGGGTTACCTTGGCCCAGGTGCAGGACCCTCTACTTGGCCTTGTTGAACCTCATGAGGTTAATGAGTAGTGGCCTATAAATGCAATATAGTCATGATATTCTGAGACAGTTACAATACAGGTATGATGTATTAATCAGTGTATACCTGTTGATATTTATAATGATTTCTAATACTGTGGGAAGTAAAGGATTATGATCAAAACATTAAAAGCAGAAAACTTAAAAATAGTTACCTACCCTCCATAGTTAGGACTGGAGGTCTCAGTCATTCTCCAATTAGATGTATACAATTGTCTTTCACAGTGGGAGTCAGAAAGCAAACCTCAGTGTTGTGGGTCTTGAAATTACAGTCAAAGCTGTGAGTGGAGGCTGACAGATTTCTAAGGGGTGGTACGAATATAAGGGACATGGAAAAGATCCAGTCTGTGCACTGCCAAAGTGCCTGCTCTTGGAGAAGGAGAGCAAACTGCAAAGCTCAGACAGGTAGAGGGATCTCTTTGGTGTTGCTTGAATGACCCATCTTGGTAGGAACTGAAGAGAAGTGTGAAAGTTTTAAGACTGATAGGGAAATGGTTTCATGGCTCTCTGTGTGGCTTTCTAGATGTCACTTCAGTGTATTAAAAGACCAACAGAGTGGTATGTGATTGTCCCAGAACATGACTGTAAATAAAATGGGTTTCGGAGCCAGCTAGTCCATGCCAGGAATTTCTTAATTCTCAAAGCAACTTAGGGTCAGGGAACTTAACCACCCATTTGCCTTTTAAGTTGTAAACTCTGGGATGCTCCTGTTGGCATAAGAAGGAATTTTGCTGTTTGTGTCCAGCTTGAGCTCTGTAGTGCTTGAGGAAGAAGACTGCAAAGAAAACTTTATGTGGCACTGAGATGTATACGTAAACCATAGAGTTGTGCTATGAACTGTAATTTAGCCTTATATGCAGGACTTCAAATCGATCCTTAATGACAGACAGGCCCTTATACACTGTACATTGAAAACTGGTACTTGTTAATTAAGTTGTCTTCAGAATTGAAATTAGCCAGTACATATTTAGAGTCTATGTTGTACACAGTTTAATAATATTGGTTTCAGTATATTAAATTAGAACATGTTTCTGTTCTTATAAAGATTCTATCTTGGGAAACAGCATCTGAAACAGCTAACAACATTGATACTATAATTATTTGAATTTATTATATGGTTGTAAACAATTATGAAGTAATTATTGCAATAATAATGCTGTGGTTATTTATTTTTATTGTATATCATACCACCTATTCCTTTACCAGAAAAAGACTCCAGGAAATTCAAAGTTGTGCTCTGCATATTTCAGCTCAGAGAATACACCAAATGTGCTTTATGACCTTTCCTCATTATCCCAAGATTTAAGTGTAGGTTTTCAGGCAGAGCTCCAGCTGCGTGCAACTTGATATTTGAAAATCATTGTATTTATCAGCTTCTCTCTCCTTCATGATCTGCTCATGTATGTGAACTGATTTTGTTCAGGAAATATTTTTTTTTTCCCATAAATGTATTTATTTCCTCTAATTCCTATTAAAAAGCCCAACTCATCCTTGCCTCATCCTCAATGAGACTAGCTTTTCCTTCCTTTTCTTCCTAATCTGCATAAGGTCTCTTCAAGCATTAATCTCTTTGACTGGTCTAGACTCTTCCAGCATTCATTGTTCTTATTCAGGTTTTGTTATACTTAGTATTCAGACCAATGATGCTCTATTTGATCATACTGTGGAATATTGATTTCAGTGTAAAAATGCCAAGGCAGTGACAAAAGCCAGGGACAGAAAATGTAGACTTGGGTATACTGACAATGAAAAATTGGACATGAACAAATAATGTGTACTTGTGGCCCAGAGGGTAAATCACATCCTGGGCTGCATCAAAAGAAGCACAGCCAGTAGGTCTGGGAGGTAATTCTCCCTCTTTACTCTCCCTTCAGAAGACCCCAGCTGGAGTAGTGTCCGGTTCTGGAATGCTCAACACAAGGAGGGACATAGACCTGTTGGAACAAGTCCAGAGAAGTGCCATGAAAATGATCAGAGGGCTGGAGCACTTCTCCTATGAAGACAGGCTGAGATAGCTGGGGTTGTTCAGCCTGGAGAGCTGGGGTTTTTCAGCCTGGAGAGGAGAAGGCTCTGGGGAGATCTTATAGTGGCCTTCCAGTACATGAAGGGAGCCTGCAGGAAAGCTGGGAGGGACTGTTTGCAAGGGCATGTAGCAGTAGGAAGAGGGGCAATGGCCATAAACTAGAGGAGGGTAGATGTAGATTATATATTAGGAAGAAGTTCTTTACTATGAGGGTGGTGAAGCACTGGAACAGGTCACCCAGAGAGGTGGTGGAGGCCCCACCCCTGGAGACATTGAAAGTCAGGCTTGACGAAGCTCTGAGCAACCTGATCTAGTTAAAAATGTCCCTGTGCAATGCAGGGGGGGCTGGACTAGATGACCTTTAGAGGTCCCTTCCAACCCCACACATTCTATGATTCTGTGATCAAAACATTCTGCAAGTTACATATTAGGTCTCTAGAGCTTTGGCCATTTTATTAAGTCACCAATTTTCTGTTAACTGTGAAGGATGGGTGACACCAACTGGTAAACCTTTTGCACCATCTAGTACAACAATACTTGTTTTAGTTAGAAGACTGGCAAGGGCCTCTCTGACTAGATTAAAGTAAGTGTTAGGGAAAAGAAAAAAAAAATGTTGAAGTGAAAGATAAAGGATGCAACTCTATTGTAATTTTCTTTCTTTCTGAGTGTATGTTCGAAGCAAACCTGCTGCTGATGCCTGCATCCCATCCATGGGTTTGGATTACACAGCAGTCTCAGCGTGCACAGCCCGAGGTCCTTGTGGATGAAACCATGCAGATGATGTGTTTCAGGAGTCCAACTGATGTTCTCCAGCCACTAGTGGGCAGGTGCTATGGGGGGTAGAAAAAGGGAAGATGCCTCTTTCTGTGGCTGGTGGTAGGTGGTTGGGAACAACTGAATCCTGAAAATGCCATGGAGCTTCTACAGGCACTTGTATTTTCTGCCTTTTAAATTTGTTACCATCAATTCTGTAATGCAGGAAAACAGGTGACCTGCTTTTTACTGAAGGAAAAGGAATGCCTTGCTGTTTATCAACTCTTCAACAGACCATCTATATCATGGTCTAAGCCAAAAGTTATCACAACTAATTGTATGTGTGTGATGAGGCTTGTAAGTGCATATTTTAAAATAGCCTAATTTTTGAAAGACCTGAGTATCTAGAAGATCCCATTGACTTGAAGCTTAAGTCAGACCCTTAATTTACCCTTTATGTCAAGTGGCAGCACCATGCAAAACTGAAATACAGATACTGAATGCGGAGCCACAGATGGTTTTAGACATATAGTTCCCAAAAATATTTCAGCAATAATCAGGTATCTAAACAGCTTTGAGGTTTTTGACTGTAGAAACTTTATTGTCACTGCTGGTGGTCAAAGTGATTTTTATCATGGTAATTAACTGGGAAGTAACAAGTAACTAGTAGCAGTGGGTGGGGGAAAAGTTCTCACAGGTTGGGAGTCTAAGGGACCAGTTGGAATTACGGAAGAGCACTGGGATGGGAGCTGGACTTTGATGTAAGTGCCACCTATATAAATCATAAAGGATCTACAGTGTTAGTGTTGAGTTTTCTCTTTGTTCTCAAATGTACTTATACTGCCTTTGTGTGAAACAGGAAAGACTGACCAGCAGTTTGCCCTATTTCAGTAGTGCCAAAGTGATTATACCAGCTGAGAAATCCAACACAAAGCCGTTCCACGCAAAACCATGTCAGGTGCTCTGTAAAATTAGGTTTTAAAAGGGTTTTTAATGAATTGTTGGGTCATGTTTATTTTGCACAAACTGAGTTACCACTTTTTGAGTTAGTATTTATAATATCTTTAAGGCAAACTGTACTATATTGGATTGATATAAAAGGTGTAATTAATCAAACGTGGCGTTGTGTTGTGCAATGGAGAAATGTTTTTGGTGCTTTACGTCAAACACACAGGATTTTTTTTCATGGGAATTGGCTGAATGTTATGAATTATAAATTTAGGCTCTAAACATTCATTCTGTTAACTGGCTAAAACAAGAGCACTTAGAGCAAAGGGTTATATTTGCTCTAGAATGTATTTATTATGCTAGTGTTCTAAGAAACTGAGAAAAAATGTGTTTCAGCTGTTGTGTGTGCAGTACAAATTTTGTAATTACAGAAAAGAGGTTGGTATTACTCTAATTGTTTAAAGAAAAATTTAAATGATGTTTGTTTAAATGAGAGAAAATAAATATCATTTGAGAATTTATGCAGTTAGGATGAAGAATTTATTGTATATACAGTTAAGCAACTCTACGGTAGATGTACTTCCTCTTTAAAGAAAAGTAATACATTAATCAAAATAGTTCTAGCATGGGAACTACAATACAGGCTGAAACTTGACTAAACCAGAAAGTAGTTATTTGACTTGAAAGAACACAGAACTTGAAACAACAAATTGCAGGTTTCATCATTAACCAAAGACAGTAAAAAACTGTACAGTACAAGCAACACGTTACAATAAGTTATGACCAATAAGGCAGTCTTTCTCATTTAGGACAAAAAAGGATAAAGGGAAAGGTATTAAAATCTCATAAATCCACCGTATCTCTTTTCCATCTCTGGGACCTCTTTGGAATAAGTTTCCCCATCTTCTTCTGAAGGGAGGATGGAGTCGGCGAAGCGCTTAAGAAACCCACCGTATCGTTTCTGGTAATCCAGCCACCATTCTGGCCTGCCTACTCTTCTCATAAAGCCACCATATCTCTTTTGCAGCTCTTTGGCTTCACCTTCCAATTCAGGGCTGCGCTTTATGCTTCTCATGAAGCCTCCGTATCGTTTGCTGACATCACCGTCGTTTTCGTTTATCTCTCGGTAATGCCCCACTTCAGGGTTGTCTCCTGTTCCTAGAAGCTCCTTCAGCAGATCAGAGGAATTAGCAAGGGCTTCGTCATCCGAGTCTTTCTTCATAAACCCTCCATACCTCTTAGCCAGGATTTCTCCTCCATTAGCTTCATCCTCTGGTTCTACCCGATACAGCTCATCCATTTTCTTCATGAACCCTCCGTATCTTTTCATGAAGCCTCCATACTTCTTGGCAAGCAAAAGGTTCTCATCCAGCTCCTTCTTGTCTCCTGGAGCAATGTTGGCATCTTCAGAAAGATCCAGCTTTGCCAGTTGCAGGAGCTCCTTGCAGGTCTCCCAGGCTTTGGCAGAAGGTAGCTTTCCTTCACATTCTAGTGTACATGCCTGAAAAATGGATGTGGTTTACTGAGAATTATTTGATAGTAGCAACCATCTCACTGCCACCTTGTCTTAGCTTTACGTGTTTTTAAAAGACCATGAGCAACCCTCCCTTTGTGAGCAGCTTGGAAGGACCACTCTTCGTGAAGAACTGATTTGGTACCTGTCTGTTCTGAAGTTCTTCATTATCCCTCTCTGAAGAAAACGGTATCCTCACTCTAGGAGGATGTTGGACAAGATGGATCATGGGCCCTGTACGTCAAGGCTATCCCTATGCTTCTGTTTCAAAGGAAGCCACACATGCATGTCCTGCACCTCCCTTACACTCCGGTGTTTTGTTACTCTTCTTCATTCATTTACTTATTTACTATTAGGAAGCTAAAAACCAACAGTGGTTTGCTTCGTAATGCATGTGTAGAAGTGTATTCAATCTTCATAATTAAAAGTAACATTCAGAATTTATAGGAAAGAAGTGACACGGCATTGCCATTACAGCTCTACTGTTCTGGTCACTATCTTTGATACACTGCACAGCTTTCAAGGCTGCATTTCTGTCTGTTATCATTAGTTGATCTTCGTGGAACAGATCTTTCAGATGTGTACCAATGCAAATGTAGAAAGAGAGGCTCTCTTAAGCAGGATCAAAGTTCTGCTTTTGCTAGTTTGATATACAAATTAGTGGCCATCAGAAAAAAAAATAATAAATCCCAGCTCCTGACTGTCGTGAAAAATGTTCAGGCTAAGACAAAGTTTTCAGTACCTCTATACATATTTCATAACCTGTCATGTCAAGATAATACCATACGTATTTGCTATTAATTTCTCTGTTTGTGTCAGGGGAAATAACTTCTTGTGAAACCACACTCTTCAGTTGCAAAAAAGGTGAATCCAGTATTTTTCCTTCTTGACCATAGTTTACATACCACAATAATTAAAGAAGAAATATTCAGTATTTTAAGTATGAGAAACACTTGCTCTGCCTATGGGTGATGTTTCTAAGGATCTCAACATGTGTGAATGACCAGGCAAAATGTGATAAATCTTGCATCTTACAGATATAATATGATAAATTCAGTTGTGATGTTACTAGATGCTAAAAATTGTCTGTACATGTATAACAAATATATATATATATGGCACATTACTTCTTTTCCTCTTCAGATAATAGGTGTTACTGAATTGGACTTTGATTATTTATGGAATAATTACTGGAGGTGTACTAGGGAGAATGCCAATATAGATGTCCACAACACATATTCCAAAAAGGACATATCTGTCCCTCCAAAAGAGCAAGCTACCACTTTTTTCTCTAGTTGACATTAAGGCTAAAGTTAGTTTGACAGCTAATGTAAGCAAAAAAATACAGGGAAATGTTTTGCCAGCCATCGTAAGAATGCCCTTAAGAACCTTAAGAGTCCTTGCACATTCAGGGCAAGTGAATCCTAATTCTGTGTAAGAATAAGGCTCAGTCCTTCCTGTTGTGTGCTCCCGAAGAAGCCACGACAACACTGGAACAAAACTTTTCAGATCCTTTAGGTATGCTGAGAGCACGATGCCTTAGTACGCACCTGTTTGCGGCCAGGGGTCAGGCACAGCCGGTGCCGCTGGCAAAGGACTCGGCAGCCTGAGTTCCCACCATCTTTAGGACGGACCCCAGACTTTCACTGACCCTGGTCCTTAAACTTCAAATTGCGTTCCCTCTGTGGCTATACTTTTCAAACCCCAACAACCCAAAGCCTGTATTTCGGAGTGAGTGTATTTAGCATAGGAGACCGTGTCAGAGGGATCTTTCTCAGCCGTACTCTGAGCGCTGTGCCAGGAGGATGAGCGGTGGGGAGGTGCTGCTGCTCAAACCAGGACCGAACCCCACTTTCTGTGAGATTTCAGGCAGATCCGCCGCTTTTCAGCTCGACGGCCACCCTGCCTGGAGAGAGCTCATCCTGCCGAGGAGTCCCCGGCCGGGGGTCAGGATTCCCCTCCCGTCCTGCCCCCCGCCCTGCGGCGGCTCAAGTGCCCGGCGGCGACTCCTCCTCTCTCCGCAGAGCCGCCCTTTCCAGCTGGATTCCCTTTCCCCTTTACGTTTACGTTCCCCTTTC